AAATAAATAATTTGTTAGGAGATCATTAAAATGGATGAAAAAAAACTAAAATCTGTTACTAATTGATTGTTTAAAACTATGAAAACTCGAATAAGATATATGAGATCTAACTGAAGACTTAAAAAGTATACTTGTTAAATATAGCTAAACTAGTACTATTTTTTAATGACTAAATAAATGATGCTTGAAAAATATTTCTCGAATATCATTTATTGTATAACATTCATTGAGCATGCCATTAACTCGATCTGCCATGCAGGGTTCCCGATTGTTTTGAAAAGTGGGAGGGGCTAAAAATTCGGCAGAAAGTCTAAAAATTTTGGCAGAAAGTGTCTCAGTTGCCTTTCCGGCAGAAATTGAACAACAAATACTAATTTGATCGACTTTCTGCAAGATTTTGTTGACAGAAAGTATTGTCCTTCGACTTTCTGCCAGAAAAATGGTGATTAGTGCTTAAAAACTGAGTTTCTGCCAGATATTACTACCAAATTTTCAAAAAAATTGGCAGAAAGTATAAGAAATTTTCGCAGAAAGTCGGACAGTTTTTCAAGTTTGGAGGGGACTAGACCCCCCCAGCCCCCCCCTAATCGGGGAGCCTGCTGCCATGTATGAATATTTGAAAGACGAATTCTTTTCCATTTCTTCTATCATAACATGACGAAAACATTGATGAAATGTTGTTTTTTCACTAATAATCCAATAAATAATATTTTGAATAATTCGTTCAGCATTGACTAATGGAATATATTCGCCACCTAAAATCAACAAGAAATTTTTTTTTTTGTAAATAAAACTAAGAGAACAATTTTTTTTGTACCGGCTTTCTTAGCTAAGGCACAATAAAAATCATCACATTTAATAACGCTTTCTTCAACACCAACTACGACTAAAGTTATATCTTTCTCTTCAAATTTCTTCGATACTACCCAAGGATCTGCACCATCTAATGTCGTAAAAAGACCATTGGGAGCACTATCAGTAATCAAAATAACCAGTTTTTCATTAAATATCTGATTGTTATTCTAGAATATACAAAAAAAAATTTCTTATAAAGCTGCAAACATTTTAACATACATTATCACGCCATTGGACGTTGAGGGCTTCATACAAAGCATCACCTTAAATAATAAATGTAATATGAATTCCATTCGCAGTATTCGTTTGGATTATCGTCATAGTAGTTTCAAGAAAAAATCTTCATTTTGCAAAGTTTGAAAGTTTTATATACTCAAATCTGATATTGTACTCGTGACTTATGAAGAACCGTTTCAAGTAATCGAAAGCCTTTGGCCCTGCATTTCGTTTCTAACAGCCCAATGATCTTTCCTTTGAACGTATAATGAGTTTGATAGAAACATAAATATGACAACCAAAACACATGCTTCCTTCTCATGATATAAATTTTTCAAGAACTGATTTTTGTAATATGTGATAAGGTCGAAGAGTTCTCTTGAAAACAGAATATCTCAAGAAAGAAGTACTCGCTTTGCTGGTCACATTTTAATTCCTGTTATGATCATAAAATCTTCTCAGAAGCAAAGTTTCAAATCGATTGGTAACTCTTTTAAAATAGTTATGTTGAATGAATGAAAAAAAAACTCGAAAGAAAAACATTGAAATGTAAAATAAAGATGTTCAAAAATTATAATGATAAGAGGTCGCCGAACTTCAATGTTTGAAGTCTTTTCTTTTGGTTGAATCATGTTTGTATCTATGTATTCTATTATTAATAATGATGTCAATGCTTGTTTATTATTATTGCTCCTTTAATTTGTGTTTTGAAATCAAAGTTCATTACCAACAAAAGAAAACAACAATGACTTAGTTCTTTATGTTTATCTGATCGATATAATGAAAATTCTGTTGGAGAACTGTTAGAGAGATTACTCTATTTTTGGTGAAAAATGTTGGACTAAAAGTGTATATGAATAATATCCTTTTAGGCTTTTGTAGATAAGTTATATCTTATCTATAGGTAAAATATCCATGAAAAAGTTTAAAATCATTCGAGACTGTTGTTTCCGTTAGCGTTTCTCAATAAATGACATAATTAGAACAAAAAAGCATAGCGTTTGTCAGTTGTGTGAAACTTCGATGTGAGTCAATGTGTTACTTTTTTCTTTTGAATATACGAACAAAAATAGAAAAAAGTCGACAAAGAACGAAAAAAGACGCTCATATTCACACTAAAGTTATCGACAATGATGTCAAGATAAACATTTTCATAAAAGAAAATAATTTTTCATTGTTTAAAACTTATTAAAAATATGTTATTCAATCAGATCTTATGATTTATTTTACACTAATCTTATTTTGATCAGAGAACAGAGATAGAAAATTATTAAAATTTATATTTTTAATGTCATTTCATGATCGAAAAAGTAATATCTTAAACAATTAAAATTAAACAAATTTTTCATAAGACACACAAGTATAGAGAAGCACACTCCTTTTCTGCAATAATAACTATGTGAAGATTATAATCAGAAATAAATAAATAATAAAAAAGAAATTCAATAAACCTCGTTTTAAACATAAAAATCTGTTTTTCTTACCAACAGCTTTATATCCATCTGGGCTTTCTCCACCGAGGTCTTGATCAGTAAGTATTTGTTCAATGGCATCTATATTTGAAATAAATCCATGTACTTTTGTTCTCCATCTATCATAACATGATCGAAATTTAATCAAACCTATGCGAACATCACCATGACTTGCTAATGTCATTGTACCAATGGATAAAATCATTTTACGAATTTCACCAAAATAAGACATTATTGATGATGTATAATCAATACAAACAACAATGTCGATTACTATTTTCATTGTATAAATAATAATTTGTAATAAACTAAAAACCTAAGTATAACAGTTAAGAATAAAACAAGTGGTGTAGGTAAAATTTTTACTGTATAGAAAAAGAAATGATTATGATTGTTTGAAAAGAAAATGCAACTTTATATGAGAGAAAAAGCGAAGAAGTTTTATGCAAACTAACAGAATGTCTTTTAATTCTGTCTGTTTTTTTCTTCTATCATCTTCATCTCTTATGAATTTTTTTCTCTCTTCGTATATCTTCTCACTATTGTACTCACAATATTATACGACAGTTACTGTAAATGAAAAAAAAGACAGACAGAAGCAGATATGTAATATTCATATTGTGACACTACCTTGCTTGTTGAATGTACGAGTGTTTTTATCTTTCTTTTTTTTTGTTATACAAAAGAAGCTCACCATGGCAAAAATAGACTGATTATTGTCAATGTCTTTTCTTTTTTTTTTTCTTGTTTCATTCTGTCTCAGTCTCATATACATGTCGTATCTATTCTTTTTTTTCTGTGTGTATCTTATGCACATTTCAATTTGTTGCTCTTTCTATTCCATAATTTGTTTGCCCCCCTTACGTTGAAACAACGTTAGCTGACAACTACTTTGTGAAGCATTTGTATATACGTTATGGCTTCTCATTTGTAATTTTTATTTCGATGATTTTTCTTTTCTTCTGATGACGTTCATGTTGGCATCCGATCAAAAATAGAAAAAAAAAACTTCACATCCTTGAAATATAAGTGAACTTTTGATATTCAATTATTTGCGATAAGTAAAACAGAATATAGATGAATATACGTAATATGACATCAAGAGAACACCTTGTATAATTGATGGTGATAAATCTCAAATCAGTATTTATATGTGATAGTATTTCGCGTATAAAAAAGGATTGTATTTGTAAACTTTGGTAAAAAAAAATATAGATTAGCATTTTTAAGTTTTCTCTCTATTCTGTTATCACACCTGTGTATATTATTGTTGATTAAAACGACTTGTTTCTCGTAAGAATATGTATACATTTTTCTCCTTCTGTCATCGACGATGAAGAAAAAGAAAGAAACCTAACATCAAAGAATGATTATGATATAATATTGTTTGCTATTCTTCTACTAAAAGAAAATAAATTATTGGTGATTAGTAAAATATGATATTGATAAAAATCAACCACTTTGTCTCATACATATTGATAAACATCACCGGCTGACTATTGATGGTTTTGTGTTCTTGTTAGAGAGTGTAATAAATGAGTCATTTTGTATGACTCCTTATCAATAAATTACAATATTTCTTTAACAGACATAACATGTTAACAACTATTTCTACTAATAATTTGCAAAAACGAATTATGACATGAAAAGCAAAATGAAAGCCTTAAACATCGTCGATTTTTAGATAATGTTTAACTATTTTTGTCGTATCATTTATCCTTTATATTTCAACATAATGATATCAATAGATATTTTTATGTTTTTCATATTCAACTAAAATAACAAAGATTATATGAAATTAAATGTTCATCGTGATGATATAAATCAAGTAAAGCATTATTTGAATCGAACATCGTAATACACTTTTTCTTCCATCATTCATTCTCCATATATTTCTCAGAATGATTGACGAGCTATTGACATTGTACAAATATGGGCGTCGTATTGTATTTATAATAATTTACTCATTTAGAGAAATGAACTTTGATGTCGAAGAATCAAATTAATACAACATTCGTTTTATATCTTTTTTCTTTTACTGACCATAAAAGTCATTGTGTCATAAGTATCAGAAATTATTGAAACATTCTATTGAAATTGTTCGATTTGATAGAAAAAAAAAAGATATTCGATGTTTATATTTTAATATGTTGATCACTTCCAATGTAGCACCTAATCTTTCTTGATGGAGTGATGATTTTGAAAAAATGTACAGTGACACACTTTTCATTTTATTTGGTTATAGTATAGAAGACTGATAAGATGTATTATGAATTATCAAAAACAGACATAACTATGTAATTAATATTTTTAGTAAATTATTATTTGTTTATATTTTATTAATATAAAAATCAAGTGTTAAATAACATCATACACTAATATAAAATTAAACTCATAAAAAAACGTAAATTAAAGTAAAAATTAAATTGTGATATTTCGACGAACAAAGTTGTCTTCGTTCTGATATAAATAACGTTTTTATAAATATTATATTTGCTCTTTCTTGAGATGTATATTATGATGTTTAACCAAATGCTAGTAGAACGGCAAAACGATGTTCCTATTATAAAAGATGTATCATCAGTTTTCTTCCTCTGTCTCACTTTTTTTTACATAAACGATGAAGAAGAGAGGAAAAAAAAGGTGTACCTTTGTTCATGTTCAGACTAGGGTAGGAAGAAGGAAAGCATATTGCAGGGTAGTGTAAGATAGATGTTAGAAAAATTCTGTCAGTCATCATACAGAGTACGAAAATAGCTTATCCTGTATATCTCCACTTCGTAGGACTGAAACCTTTTTCAATATGGAAGAAATTCATTTATCCGAGGTGTTCATTAATATAGATTTCATTGTTATTGGGTGAGAAAAAAAATCAATAAGTTTTACAGAACAAACTTTCTCTGGAATTGCGCGACTTTAGATAGATTGAGCCCGAAAAAAAGGAGACGGATACTTTCTAAAATTGATTCTTGTTTCACATGCTCGAAAAAGTTGCAAAAACATATACTTTTCCAAAAGCTGTTCAAAAAATTTCCCATGTTTTAGGATTTTTTTCTAACCAGTTTCCTCAGAAATTTATATATCAAGCAAATTAAGAATCAAATATAGCATTAAATTAAAAAACTGGAATTTTATTTTTAGAAGTGCCCTAGAATTGATAATGAAAAACCTGGTGAACCATATTTCCAGGTTGAACCACTTAGAACTTATAGACATCTTCTTGTAATTTTTCGAACGATTTGGAAACAAAGCTTTTTCGAGAAATCTTTCGTAAAATTGTAAGAAAATATGTCAGAAAAAAATTTGGCATATGATTCAATGTATTTTCATTTTTTCGTGTCAATGAGTAAATTCTTATGTCTGTACTTTGTTTTTATGAAAAGTTATTGACGAAAATATTAATCTCCCGTCTATATTGAAATGAATAATAATTTTGATCTGATAAGTTCTGTATGCTTGTTTTTTTCACTTAAAATTGATCTTTGGTCTAGTCATTCAACTTGATAGAGAGTTTGAATAATTTTTATTTATATCTACCATCAGGGGCGGCGCGAAGAGGTCGGAGCAGGGGGGGGGGCAGTCCTAAAATCGGAGAAAGTCAAAAAGTGTTCTCTAAACTGAAGTTTTCTCCGAGTCAGAATTTTATAATATACTTCTCCAAAATCGGAGAAAATCGTCTACTCATTTTTGACCAAAATTGGATTTTTCCGGATTCATAGAAATATATTCAACACTATTGTATAAATTCGCAGAAAATTCAAGTTTGGAGAACATTTTTGGGCGATTTTCTCCGATTTTAGAGAAATATATTATACACGTTTCTCCAAAATCGGAGAAAATCCAAGTTTGGAGGAAACTATTAAAAATTTTTCTCCGATGTTGGAGAAATTTGTGTAATATATTTCTCGAAAATCGGAGAAAATCGCCTAAAAATGATCTCCAAACTTGAATTTTCTCCGATTTTTGGAGAAATTTGTGTAATATATTTCTCGAAAATCGGAGAAAATTGCCTAAAAATGCCCATTAAACTTGAATTTTCTCCTAATTGAGAGAAAACTATCAAGTATATTTCTCCAAAATCGGAGAAAATTGCTTTGTAAATTCTCCAAAATCGGAGAAATTATCGTAGTGAATTCCCCAAAATCGGAGAAAGTACCAGCCAAAATTTTCTGGAGCAGGAGGGGGGTGACCCCCCTATCCCCCCCCCGGTCGCGCCGCCCCTGTCTACCATTGATCTGAGGTTAGATAATTGTTGTAAGTTTTATTTTATCTATAGAAATATTTTCAATATGTTAACAATATTGAATAAGAAATTTTTCTTTAGATAGACTGATAAAATTAATTTGTCGATTAGTTTAGATGATGATTGAGCAACTTGGCGAATGAGGTTGTGCGTGGGTCTTAGTTGCCTGCCTTGAGATGAATGTGCAGCTTAACCCTTTACGGCCGGCTACCAGAAGATAGCAAGCAAAAAATTCTCCTTCTATATATTCTTTGTCTCTTAGATGTGGAGGTTACCGAAATCCATCTTGGAGTTAAAAGAACTGATACTGAGTCGAATGCCAACATGTTGCCTTTTGGCAACAACCGGTCGCAAGGGTACAAAAACTTGGGAATATTGAATTATTTTTCCTCAATAGAAGTCCAATAATTTGCTGTTGGTTTTAGTCCAGATTGTCAAACAAAAGCATACTTTGTTTATCTGCCTACCTCTGACAGCCTCAATGTGCAATATATTGCCAAAATACTCAAAAAATTTCTGAAATAGTGCAAATTTCACCTATTTTCCCTAGGGAAGCCGATGAATTTAGTAAGATTTTAACAAGACTAGTAATGTTTTATAGTAGTCTGAATAGGAATACTATGATGTACTGTAAATCTTGTTAGAATCTCGCTGAATTTGTGAGCTTCTCTGGGGAAAATATGTGAAATGTGCACTATCTCGGAAAGTTTTTGAGTATTATGGGAATATATCGCACATTGAGGCTGTAAGAGGTGGGCAGATAAACAAAGTATGCTTTTGTTTGATAATCTGGACTAAAACTAACAGCAAATTATTGGACTTCCATCGAGGAAAAATAATTCAATATTCCCAACTTTTTGTACCCTTGCGGCCGGATGTTGCCAAAAGGCAACATTCTTGTACTCTATTCTTCGAGTAAACTGAATGATTCATCTTATTGATATAAGAGATAATGGAACTGGAGAGGAAAATTAACCACTAGTTACTTCTCGCATCGAGTACTCGCATAAATGGAAAACAGATCATTTCGACTCGGGGGC